TGGGCTTCAAAATCTTAACACCCATTCACTGCCAGGACATTTTTTTATATAACTCCAATTGTATTCGTCTGATAGAAGAAAGTCATATAGGATGCCTCGAGGGTGAGTAAATCATGAGCTAATTTTTCATTTTTGGGTGAACTATCCCTTTAAATGCAATTAGATAAACTTTAGAGTGCTTTTTGGATACTTAAGTTGGACTTATGGTAAACCAAAATATACACTGTAAAAAAAATAATATTTTTGAAGTTATAAAATGAAAACAAACAAAATAAAATATTGGAGTAAGTTTAGCAAGAAAATACTTTTACAGTCTTTTTACAACATTTCCAGTTTAATTCAATTTTACTTGTTTCTTTGTAATTAAGTATTAAATTTACCAAAATTCAAAAGAGTGAAAACTGTTTCTACACCATTTTTCAGTGTACGTTAATGTCAGTTATATTGAAACTTGTGTCATGTATTTAAATATATCTGTGATTACAATTAAAATACATCAACTTTAAATATAATATTAAATCAAGTAATTAAAAAAATCTCTTTATGTGCACTTAATGTGGCCTTTCATTTCATTAATATTGTATTATATGTATACAGTTTAAAAGATACAGTTTAAAAAATACTTTTAAGATTTGAAGTACACTACAAGTGCATATTCCATACAATGAAGCACTTTCAATCAGTATAAACCTAATGTTGCTTCTTTAATTCCCTGGCCAGTGTTTGCAGTTTGAGAAACTCTCAAGATCTCTTCTGAAGCACTAAAGGAGACACTTCTCAGTAGTGTGTGATTAATGGGGTTGTTTACTCAGGAGAAATTTCTGAGATTAATGAGACGCAAGCATTAATAATTGCTTCTCAATTTAACATCTTTTATGGGAGAAAAACTGAGATAATATAAAGCATCTCATTTGTGATGCTTTTTTCCTATGGGGCGGCTGCAGCCGAACCCAACAATAGCGCTGTCAGATACTCACAATGCTTCATCAGTATCTTCCTCCTGTCATTTGTTTTTTTTATTGTATGTGTAATTCTGCCATAGTTAAAGCACTAAAGCAATTACAATGTGACGGCTTGGGAAAAGGAAACCCGTGAATTAATGCCAGTGACAACCCCGAGAGTGCAAATTAAAACAGAGAGCCCCGGAAAAGCACGACCTACATTGCTCTGCTCATAATCCGCAGATTTTTTTCATTTCCACCTGGCGTCTTGCCAGGATGAGGATTTTGCAGCTGTTGGAAGCAACTTGATCTAAAACAGAGGACCGGAAAAAACGGCCATTTATGTCTATTCAAGGCTTCTGTGGACGCCAACAAAACAGCACAGCATCTCACTTCCATTATGAGAAGAAAATCCACACAACTTCCCAGAAAACCCATCTTCTGTGTGATCTGAGAAGTGCTGCGTCAGATAACAAGCAGAGTCTAGACATGTCCAGAATAGAAACACGCACACAAGACAATTTCATTACAGGTCAATCCAGTTATATTTCACTTTGTCAGACTTTGTAAGTTGCGTATACTGTAAAATTGACAGTTTTTGGCCGTAAATGTGTTTACAGTTTTTCTGTATTTTTTACAAAATTATTCTGGCAACCACAGCTGCCAAAATTATTTTGTAAAAACTACAGAATTTGTTTTTTTACAGTGCACTCATTCACTAGAGAAGAGTTCGAAGACATCAGAGGTGCAACATAGAAAGGGTTTGAACCCACAACCTATCATATGAGGTTTTATCCACAACAGCTACAGTTGTGCCAAATGTCAAAGAGACATGGCAGTGGCACGTGACTTCAGGACAAAAACCTGGAAAGTTATAAGAAGGTTTATCTGGTTTTTAACATTTATTTCTAAAGATAAATGGACTGTGCCAGACTTCACAAGTCCCATTGCAGAGGAAAGACAATAGGGGAAAAAGAAACCAGCAGCAGGGCAGCATCTACAGCTTTGAATAGACATTGATATTTCTGTTATAATGAATTGAATGGAATATTGCATTAATGTGTCCATTTGTTCAACCATATCGCCCTAGTTTCAACCCCAACTCATGATGGTAATAAAACGAGTAGACAATTAATTATGAGCTCAGACTGACAGGTTAGGACCAATCATGTAGAGATGGATTCTTTGTTCCATTTCTGAAACAAACACATTTTTATTTACTTATGGAAATTATGAGACCAATGATTCATTAGAAGATTTGTCCATTTCTGGCTAATCCACAGAAAGTGTTCTATATTCGCAGGCACTTATTTGGTTTGAGGATTAAACAGTTGATTTTTTTTAAGCAAGTACCCTTTTATAATCATATTCAGATAACGCTGGTTTATAAAAAAGGGGATTAACACACACTCCCTTTCAAATGTTTGAGGTCAGTGACAATTTTCTTTAAAAGAATACTTTTATTCAGCAAGCATGCATTAAATCTATTTAAAAGTGTCAGAAAAGACATTTATAGTGTTACAAAAATCTGTCTTTTGAACATTCAGTTAAAATAAAAAGGATCACGGGTTAAATATTATTATTTTAAAAATATTTTTATATTAATAAAAACATATTAAGAGAACTTAGAACTGATAGTTCTAAGAAAAGTTTCTTATCATATCCTCATATTAGACTGATTTCTGAAGGATCATGCGACACTGAAGACTGGAGTAATGATGCTGAAAATTCAGCGTTTGCCCTCATAGGAATAAATTACATTTTAAAATATATCACAGTTTTTTAAATTGTGCATTTTTTTATGCATTTTTAATCAAACAAATGGAGTATTGTTGAGTATAAAAGATTTCTTTCAACAAAAATCTCAAACAAAAAATCTACCCAACCCTAAACTTTTGAAAAGTAGTGTAAATTGTGTCAAAAATTGTAACTAATAATGCCAGACATGTGATTTTTTTTGGAGGTTTAATATGCTTTTAATATTGTAGGCTATTTCAAAAAGTATTAAAAGAAGCTGATAGAGAGCACACTGCAGATAAACAGAAATCCTGTTTACCCTAACGAAGAAAGTGAACTGTGTAGCAACTGTAAAAGATTCAAATATTCCCCGAGCCAGAACTCTGATGTGTGGTTTTCAGAATCATTTATTGGGTGAAGAAAGACATTCAACCATTCCTTCATGCTGAACAACATCCCCAGGTTGCTCTGTATACGAGGAAAGAGAGATTTTGCATTTTTTGGTCTATTATTTTCCTCGCTCTTGCCAGTTCACGCCGTGGTCTTACATTAGGGGTTGAATCCTTGAAAAACCCAGAAAGCACAGTCGGTGCTCAGAAAAGGCCATTCATTTTGGACAAAAATGTTACATTCTGAACAAAATCAGGTCAGATTATAAACAAGTAAACATTCTGCCCTAATGCTGCCTTCAAATCCAAAATGTATATTCATAACTATGATTTGGTCAGAATAACATGGACGCATAGCTTCCACCATGATTCTTGAATTCCCAAATTCAGAGGTTCCCATTGGTTGCTAGTACGACATTGTAGTTTAACATATGATGATTTCAACAGGACCCGAAGGCAGCATAACAGATCAAAATGCATTTACATACGAGATTTTTGTTCCTCTAGGTACATTTATGACACAAAATAGCAGTAGATTACATTCAAATGAAAGAAACTGAGTATTCAAAAGAGTTTTATCTCATTCCAGTGCAGAGGGGTAGAGCTCTTGTAGCCCAAATACAAACACGTGTCGACAAGGGGAACACACTAATGCATTATTAGTGTCTATTGTGTAAGAACGCTGCACCACAGTGAATTTCACAGACTTTGATCTGGCCTTTGTGCACAACAAGTTGAAAGATGAAATGAAAACATCCATGTAACACAGCGAGACGGAGTGAGAGCGACAGGCCCAGCGGTGCATTTAGACGTGAAAACACAGAAACGATGCCGAGGACCACATTTACATAAAGTGCCCCATATATATATTGCACTGCTCTACTTCAACACAAATGTATGGTTTGAAGTCGTCTAAATAGATCAAGCACAAATAAAATCAGAAAGCACACAAGTGAATCTCACGAAAACATCTCCAGGTCTGTTCTTTAGGGCCATTACTCCTTTTTTGTTGTTGTTTTGTGACATTATTTTTATGATAATAAGCACATTTCCCATTTTCTGTTATTTTTTTTGGAGTTCTCAGAGTTGATTCTCATTATTGTAATGACTGTAATACTGTTTTTATTTCAAGAAAATTACAGTAAAATTATATTTACGTAAAAAAGCAATGAAGGCAGTACTACACATACTACCAGGACTACCATAAACACTTCACAATAAAAAATATATATATTTTGCATTACGCTAATGAGAATCTATGGGAAATGCGCTTAATTTGAATTAAAATAATGTTACAATGCAAAAATGGGATTAAAAATAGGCTTCATTTTCTTATGCAAAATATATTTTTCCTTTTGATTTTGGAGGGAAATATGACCTTGACTGGTTTCGTGAGATTCACCCATTTGTAGCATCAAACTGTCAGATAAAACAAACTTCCTGACGTTGCGCTCAAACAAGTGCAAACGCTGTCAACCTCATTAGTGCCTATCAGTATTTCAGTTTCATCTCAACGAACATTTTTATTATAATTTTTTTTTTCAATGAAATATTATTAAAAAAGTATAGCACACATTCCCGGTCGAGTTCTCACAGTTAATCTCATAACGCCATGATCTGTTCATGTCAAAATCCTTCATAAACGTTTCAAAGACACCACTATTTGGGATTCACAAACTGAATGAAATCAAACTTGACGAGGTGAACCACTGCAGCCAGACCTTCTCCTGGGAGCTTCAGAGAGCCGCAGGTCAGTCCTTGGCGGCTTTGCTACTTTAAGGTTTCTGGATGTCAGATCTGCTGGAGACGGCAGCTGCTGAGGGATGGCGATATTAAAGAAGATTTTTAAAAAGCGAATGTTCCCTCCACTAATCTCTGGATCACCGACACAGACATAAAGACACTTCTGTCTGAATGCCTCTCCACCCATTCATTAAGTTTTAATAAAGCTTATGTTGAAACTATGCAGTTGAAGTTTTTCAGGGGTTTGAAGGGCATCAGCCTATACACAACATGACAAAAGCTCAAAGCGTAAATGGCAAAAAATCCATCTTTTACTGCAGTTCTTAAAATACCCATGAGTTTGTGGAGAGAAGAAGTTTTTGAAGGACGCGACACAGAGAAAAGCACATATAATATCAACAAGAAAGTTTCGCTTCAGCCAGAGCCACAAATACTCTATTTTCACCTTGAATGTGCAGACTGATTTTTTTCTTTTTCTAATTAATCACAGTCATTTTAGTTATTGGTCAGGCTGACAGCAAAGTCTCAACAAACATAAAGCAGAATCGAGGACGAAATAATCCTTTCTTAACGTGTGTTTCTTTTGAACCATCTTTGTAAGTTCCCAGAGCAGTATTGGGACGTGGGTTACCTCTTCAACGAGAATGCTTCCAAATTGACAGACGTGTCCTTAGGAATCGAAGAGACGGTCTTCACAAATCTCCAGTGCTGCTTTTGTGGCACCGCCAAATACCTCCACGTTGGCATCGACCCACGGCACCACGTTGCCAGGCATGTAGGCTGAGCAGTTGGCCATAGCAGAGATGTCTATAGGACGCAGGACTCTGTCCCACATGTTGAAGTGGCTTAACTCTCCTACGAAGGCTTGAGTGGCATCAAATCTTCCACCTACGATGTCCTGTGGAATAACAGCACACGTCACTAAACTAGGGATACAGTAAAAACAGTAATATTATGAAGTATCATTACAATTTTAATTAACTGTTTTCTATTTGAATATATTTTAAAATGAAATTTATTCCTGTGATGCAAAGCTGAGTTTTCAGCATCATTGCTCCAGTCTTCAGAGTCACTTCAGTGACACTTCAGAACAGCTTTTACTTGAAATAGATATATTTTTTAACATTATAAGTATCCACTTTTGATCAATGTAATGCATCCTAGTTGCATAAAAATACCAATATCTTAAAAAAAAAAATCTTGTAGCCCCAAACTTTTGAATAGTAGTGCTAACAGACATACTGTCCTCTATCTGTGAAACATTTTATATGTCAGTTTTTGGATGGACTTTATTTTACAGTATGTTTATTTACAATTTACTTACCTAAGAAAGTACTGGGTAATAACTACATGGGTTAAGTTTAGGTTTAGGGGTAGGTTCAGTGTAAGTACCTAGTTATTGCCATCAGTATAATAAATACGGGTTACACTTTATGTTAAGGTGTCCTTGTTAAAGTGTAATTACACATTTAAGTACTGAGTTATTAACAGAATATTATAGATTGTAATTGTAACTGTAGAATATTAATTAACTACATGTACTTACTGTATGGTTAGGGTTAGGATTAGGGTTTGGCTTAGAGTTACTTGCATGCAATTACGCATAATTTATTGTTATTATAATAGTAAGTACATGTAACGTGTAACAAGCACACCTTAAAATAAAGTGTAACCTAAGTACATATTATGTGGAACAGGACTGTAAAATAAAGTGCTACCCATTCGTTTTATTTCATTGCTTTCATATCTTTAGAGCACTGATTTAGAGCACTGCATCTAAAGTCATACACATTCAGGCAGAAGCCATTGTGTTTTTGAGTGTCCTGTCACAAGGGCTGCGTTTTAAATTTGATCATAGTCCTGTGTTGAACCATTAGAAACCAAGATCCTCCTAATTTCACTTTCAGGAAAGATTTATTAATCAACTAATTGTTCAGGCAACGTACAAACTGTATTACCAGCTGATTTTGAAAATACAGTATGTAGCTTTACACATTTCCAAAATCTTTGACTATCAGTGTTTTTAAAAACTCAGCAAACTGGGACTCTGCTCTGATCCAAACTCTAATGAGCCGCCTTGCTGTCTGCTACAGTATGTAACCTTCTAATGCTAACTGATGGAAGCTCACAGGAGACTACACTAAAATCCTCTGCATGGGAAATTCTGTTGAGACCTGAAGTTAGTTAATCTGTCTACATACTTTGTAGCTAGCAGGCTGAATAAAAACACATTAGGTGTGATTCTACAGACATCTGATATTCCTTTAATGCCAGTCAACCCAACATCAGCCAAATCCATGGGTTTAGCCTGCTGCGTAAGGAAGCCAAGTTGATATGACCCAGTTTGGCTTGATACTCATTCATAATCAGTAGCCCATTGGTGCTGGGTTGGGAATGAGGCATGAATGAGATCACGCATATCATGCAAGTTCAAACGGTTCTTTGAGTGTCGAGACCACTTTGATTATCCGTTTTTGAGGAATATGTTTGTTAAATATAAGAAAACTAACTGAAGCAGAGAAAAGAGAGGATTTTGAAACTGCCTGAAATAAAGAACGCAGGTTTTTTTTTTCTTGCGTTAAAACCAGTTGAGTAGTGACCTGGAACTGAAACAGTCAGAATGCTGATTAAAAATACTTTAAATGCAGACAGTAAGATCTTGTTGATTTACATAGCTTTTTCCTTTTTTTCTAAATTTCAGTGTTTATTACAGGTTTTCAGTCTGTGCGTTTATTGGCGGCACTCTACACCTTATGCTTTGGCCATAGTAGGTCTATTTTTGTTGGCAGAGAATAAAAAATATACAAAATAACTGCATTTTTTAGAGTTTGTAGCTTAACTAGTAGAGTATGAGAATAGTAATGACAAGGACGTAGGTTCAATCCTTAGGGAACTGATTAAAATTCATACCCTGTATGCACTGCCAAAAGCAGTAAAAGCATTACTAATGAAGTTGATGAATTCTGTGATGTTTGGTCGTTATTAGTTCTAAAACAATCCATTTGTTTAATAAAATGGCAGAATGTGTATGATAATATCAGCATATCAAACATCAAAATGAACTTTGAATATAAGACAACTGTCAATCCTTCAGAGCAATGCAGTTAAATTAAGGTTCTTTGTTGGCACTGATGGTTCCATGAAGAAGCTTCAACATCCATGGAACTTTTCCATTGCACAAAAGGTTCTTAACGGCCCATTCACACGGGGCGTCGGCGTCAACGCCACTCGTTTACTTTGAATGGAGTGACGTCAAGCGTTGCCGAAATGAATTGTGGGTCCATCGCGTCGCGATGGGTCCGTTGCTCGAGGCAGAAGTTGAAAACGTTTAAACTTTTCAAGCGCCAACGCAGGCGTCAGCCAATCAGATCGCCTTATGCAAATACCCTGGTGCAGACGCTAGCCAATCGCGTTCATACAACACCAGAAAACTAATGTGACTGTTGTCACTATGACGGTCGCGTCAGCACCAAGCTTCAGAAACACCCTACTTCAAGCGTCGACGCCGACGCCCCGTGGAAAAAAAGTTCTTTAAGATTATTAGAATGTTCTTCACACTAAGAAAAGTGTTTTTTTAAGAACCGTTTATTGTAAGGTTCTTTGGGGAACCCAAAATGGTTCTTCAATGGCATCACTATGAAAAAACACCTTTTGGAACCTTTATTTTAAAGAGTATTTTAAATAAATATGTAGCTTACAACACAAGCATATTCATTTTGAAAAGAGTTCCAATTTTACTGCACAACAGGAATGGGCCAGGGGTTTAAAAGACAATTAATATTCAGCAGGATTATTGCTTTAACTGCACTGACACTATCAGATGAGAACAGCATTTGAACTAACTCTGCAACATCGACACTTATTGAACTGAAATGAATCAACACTGAACTGAATAATGACACTATTATCTTCTGTAGAGCTGCTTTACAGCTGAAATATAATTTTTTTTAATAACTGATGAATTACACAACAGTCACCCTGTTATATTTTCCTGCTTATTAATGTGTAGCTGCTTTGAAACAATCTGTATTTTATAAAGGTTTATGTAAACAAATGTGACTGGATTTGACCCAGCTAACAGCTATTATTCTATCACTTCTTGCAATTGAGGTCACAGATTGTGCTTTTTTATGCACTGTTAAGCCGTGTGAATGCACTCAATGATCAAAGTAGCTCAGTGTAGGTGACCAGCAGATTATGTGTCACATGTGGATTTTGTGTGCTTGCTATCTGTGTCACATGTAACATTTCTCTCAAGAAGTCCCTGAGCCCTCAGTGCTGCTGAGAGGTGACGTCTTCTCATCATCGCGTGTGAAGACTTATTATTATCGTTGCATGTCTTCCTCGTGAGGGATCAGCTCTTTTACGTTCTCTCTCACCCTCATGCACTCACCTGTTCTTGGCCCAGGATAATGACTCCTCCAGGTTTAATTGGGTGCCAGGGGGCCAAGTTCTCTCCAGTCCCTAGTCTCTCTCCATCCTGATAGGCCTCCCAGAAGCCGTCTCTGGTTGTCCAGGTGATGCAGATGTGATGCCAACGGCCGTCACTCACGGAGAGAGGAAGCTGAGCTACCTGTGACAGAAAGGTCCAAACCGTAGGGGGTTATTACTGTGGAAACTGATGGTAAAAAGTGCATATTTAAGAAGAAGTAACTGCTTTCACAGTAATTATTCAGTAGATGTATGCCGGTTTCCTCCATTGTGTCCCTACAGACATAATCCTGAAATGCCTCACTCTAACTCACTTCCCATCAAAGAATATAACTAGATTTGCTGAAGAAAAAGTGTAAGTGTGCTAGTCGCTGTCACAATGCTAAGGTGTTTTGAGCTGTTATGTGGTTGCTAAGGCTGTTCCGGGTGGTTGGCCTTGTCAAAAGTGTCCAGCCTCGATCCCTAGATATGACTCAAGTTCTTCCTTACATGCAAGTCTATGAGTCTGATTGCTTAGAACTATAATATCACACCTCTGCTCAACAAGCTGCACAATTTGAGGTGACATTCATGTCCGTAGCACAACAGGGTGTTACGCACCAAATTTAACACTCAAGAGAGTGGGTTTGTTCAGATTGTTAAAATAAGTGAAAGAAACTGTTTTTCAGCAGTTTTTAACTGCATGGCGAATTACAGTTATTTCAATCGTAATCCATATGATTTGGAATTTTATGCAAGGATGAAAAATTTCCTCACACAGATTTTGCAATGTTAGTCACTTGTATTTGTCATGTTGACCAACAGAAAGCTGCTTGGTTTGGAAATGACTTCTGTGTAAGCTGCACTTCAGACACAGACTACTGAAAACAGGAAATAGACCGCTTCTGGCCAAAATATGAGTCCATAATCCATAATAAAGCTTCCTCCAGTAAAAAAAAAAAAAAAATCCCCTGTTGTCCTCTCACATCAAAATCCCTCAACATGTTTGTTTTTCATACTGTTTTGGACAGTTTTTGCTTGTACATGGTGACTGATCTGTGCATATTTCTCTCCTGATTCAGAGGAGATTACTTTTTCACTGGAGAAAGCAATATTATGGATTATGGACTCATATTTTGGCCAGAAGCAATGGTCTGAAGTTAAAACGTCTTAATGATGGATTTGTTTCTTACAAACACACAGTTTTTCACTTCACAAAATGGTAATTGATGGACTGGAGTGGTGTGGATTACTTGTGGATTATTGTGATGTTATTTACGGCAGCCATTCACTGTAGAGGATCCATTGGTGAGCAACTGATGAAATGCTAAATTTCCTCAAATTTAGTCAATTTTCAGGAAATTTTCATTTTAGGTTGAACTATTCCTGAGTGCACTTTGTTCCATTGACTTCTATTCATACAGATGCAAATGGGGGAGATAGGAAACACAAGCTTATGCGAATTTTGCTGCGTTCCAAAGTTTAAGTTCAGGGAACTCTGACCTTCAAGTTCATTTTACATCGTCTTCACACGTCATCGTGTGACCTCTTAGGGTTTGGATTACAGCGTTGCAGTAAAGTAGAGTAGACTGCATATTTTTACATTGTCAATTGTGTTATGTTTGACGTCATATTATGACCGTTGCAATGTCTGTAGAAATGTTGCATGCTCAATGTCTAGTGCGCAGCTTAAGGGAGGCTATAAAGTGTCTGGATGAATCATCATAACATAAACTGCCCTCTATAAAGTTGTATTTGACGCCCCACATACTTTAAAATAGTTTATATAGTTAATCTCCAAGCTAGACGCACAGTGAGTTTGACAGCTACTGCACCTTGAGACTAGGCCTTTAATGCACTTAAGTTAAGAAAGTATGAAAACACAACATTCAGACAGAAGTAACGAAGCACTGAGGTGTGATGCATTCACTGGAGTGGGAAAAAGCACTGAAGACACACTCGACAGGTAATCACATTCAGCATGGCAGCTTCTCTCTCGATCCTCGTCACTTTCTTGTTCTTTCCAGCTTGACGTACACACTCACACACACACACACATGAGTACACGCACACACTGTACATGTATAATGCATGTTGTGCAGGGCTGCCGGGCAAGATGCCTCTCTCAATTAGCAAGATACCAAACTGACACTTCCTGAGTGAGGTATCAGGGGAATTAGCAGGGCAGCAGAGCTCATTCGTTCTTTTCCAATATCTCGCTCTCTCAAGACCCTCAGGTTACACTCAACAAAAACCAGTGATGGCGCAATCTCCTCCACAATGATCCAGAGATACAGCATCTATGGTTACTGAGACATGCTAACCTCATTTACGGATGAGATATTGGAAGCTAATTTTCCCCAAAGAAAAGCAGCTCAGTTTCATATTCTTGATTTAGAACCACGAAGGACATATTTAATTCATTTATGTGTGCTTTAATACTAAACTTTGAAATCATCGAGGGTCTTGTGCAACAATAGCCTCTGAAAGCTAATCAACTAACTTTGAAAATCGTTTGTGTGTCTCTCTGCAGCCAACATGCATAGTCAACATGCAATACCTTTAAGAAATGGGTTTGTTGAAGTTGTACAAAACAATCCAATTGCAAAAATCCAATTTCAAAGGTCCTCATGCATTTTAAAAATGTCTTCCAATAATAGTATGGCAAACTTTTTAGGTACTTTTTTTTTGCATGATTTATCTTTATATGGTATTTCAAATATTTTTGATGAATGGATCAACTGGGTATTCAAAACTAGTGGAGTATCCTGTAAAAATCTACAAATATTAATTTTTACAATTAACTCTTTCCCCGCCAGCATTTTGGGTGTTGGTGCAAAAAGCACTACAGTGTTCTGAGCGGTTGTTTACTGGCCTAAGTAAAAAAAAAAAAAAGCCTGCCTTACCAGTCTTTATTACATTCTGGCCTCTGGTAGACGCTCACTGATGCTCCAGAAGGAAAAACCATGCATTAAGAGCTGAGGGAGGGGGGTGAAAACTTTTGAACAGAATGGAGATGTGTACATTTTTCCTATTTTGCCTAAATATCATATTTTTTCATTTAGTACTGCCCTTCAGAGGCTACAGACGACAGTTACATGTTTCTCAGAAGATAAAATAAGGTACATTTACCCTGATCTTCAAATTCAAAAAGTTTTCACCACCGGCCCTTAAAACATCATGTTTCCTTCTGGAGCATCGGTGAGCATTTGAACCTTTTGTAATAGTTGCATATGAGTCCCTCAGTTGTCCTCAGTGTGAAAAGATGGATCTCAAAATCATACAGTCACTTTTGGAAAAGGTTCAAATATGCAGAAGATGCTGGAAAACCAAAGAATGTGCAGGAGCTGGGGGATTTTTCTGAATAACAGCAGGCAGTTGAACTGCTCAGGACCAACGCAGGACTCATGAACAACTATCACAAAACAGAAAAAGAGTCGTGGATCATCCAGGAAACGACACAAAGTATTAAGATTCAAGGGTATGTAAACTTTTGAACGAGGTCATTTTTATAAATTCAGTTATTTTTTTCTTGTGGAGTCTATATAAACATCTGTTATGTGAAATAGCTTATTCAGGACAGCACTAAATAAAAAATAACATGCAATTTTCATGAGCTCTCTTATTTTGTTAAAATGCATGTGTAAACTTATGAGCACAACTGTATATACTTTTTAACCACAAATGCTCATCTTGCACTAGTTCGACTTCACACATTACATAGTCATGTTGGAAAGGTCACACGTGATGTAGGTGACCATCGGTTCTGTACCGACCCATTGTTTACAAAGCGAATGTGCAAAGACTAGCCTAAGTCAAACGCCCTTTACAAAAAAAGGTAAAACAATGAGACAGACAATTTTGAAGTTGGAGGAGAAAATGATATGGAGTTTTTTGCCCTACCCTACCTTTTTGAACCGGAGTGTCCAGACTAAGTACTAACCACGCGTGACCTTTCCAACATGATTACATAATGCGTGAAGTCATGGATATGCATCACAGAGCTAGTGAAAGACGGGCATTTGTGGTTAAAAAATACATACTTGATTTTATTTTTTTAGAAAATGACTGATCGTTTCGCTAGATAAGACCCTTATTCCTCGGCTGGGATCGTGTAGAGCCCTTTGAAGCTGCACTGAAACTGCAATTTGGACCTTCAACCCGTTGGTCCCATTGAAGTCCACTATATGGAGAGAAATCCTGGAATGTTATCCTCAAAAACCTTAATTTCTTTTCGACTGAAGAAAGAAAGACTTGAACATCTTGGATGACAAGGGGGTGAGTAAATTATCAGGAAATTTGCATTCTGGAAGTTAACTAATCCTTTAATCCTTGTAATGAGCAATTTTCCAATTTTATATATGTCTCTGAGCTATGCATGGTAAAACTTGTTTGAAATTTTGTGTTGCATGTATGACAAATAGTGTATGTGTGTGTGTGAGCATAGTAGTTGCCCTGAGCTGTGACAAATGAATTTTTAAAAGTACAAATATTCAGTGTAGCCTCTCAATTAACATAAGTTCAAGAAAACTACACAACAATTATACATTTGATACAATACATGCAGTTTAAAATAGTTTTAGATGAAATCTCACAACACATGGCAGTTTAATTAGTATTTGACCTTCAAGCCCCTTCATGTAATTTCTATTAAAATAAAAATCAGGCTGTGAAAACCTTTTATTTGAGAAATCTTTGGGGACTATTTAAAATGAACTACCATATTTTTCTATGAATCACATTTAGACAAGTGTTATTTTTAAGACTAAAGCACCTATGATATAATGCCAAGTTTGTTTTCATTGCCAACAAAACAATTATTCATTTAATGAGATTGTTATACATTCAATACTAGGGAAATCTAACATTGTTCCAAAGAAACACAATGAATAAAAACAGGAATAGCTTTGCTGTATCTCATAAAGGCTCACCTTATCATTGACGAGCAGCTCCATGGGGCTGTTTCCCCACTCTATCAGCACAATCTCATTGGCTTGTCCCGGGACGCCGTAAGAGAACGGGGTTCCGATTCCAGGACTGGCACTGGACTTGAGCCACATACACACGGTGAAGGCATACATCTCTGGCAAGCTCTTCTTGATGCGGCCATACAGGTAGTTGGTGCGCAGAGGCAGAGACACCTTAAAGTCCTCTGGAGATTTGAATGCACTGTTACCTGCGAAGAGAATCGAGGGAGAGGTTTGCATTGAAGGACAGGAAGATGCAAACTGCTGACCTGAGATTGTGTTAATTTGATTTCGGCAAATTGAATCTGAGTAAGGCTTTCAGGCTCAATGAATGAAATGAGCGATCAACGCAGGCTCATGTAATTGTTCTAATATGAAATGACATGCTGGGGGGCTATGTAAGGTGAAATAATGATGTAGCTGCTGATGATGCTTTGGCGTTAATCAGTCGCTTTGCAAAAGTGGCTCGATTTGTGCTAACACTGATCTGAATTCTGAATACAACAGGACAATATGGCCATCCAGTTCTAACAGATGGGACCTGCATAAATCCCATATCCAAAAAGGACAAAAGGAGCAGTAAAGGCAAACAAATGATTGTAAATAGCAAGTTCATTTACATGCAGACATTCTCACACAAAACTAAATCTGTTAATCTGTAAACCTTTGTTTCATCTTTCAACATAAAATTGGCCCAATGCAATGAAGTTTATGCAGTGAAGCGTTAGCTAAAGGTTTCCCCTGATGCTGTGTTGAGCGCTGGTCAAGCGTTTAAAGTTTCAACAGTGACCTTTCAAAGTGCAGCCAATGATTTACAAGCAATCTGCATGATGGATGCAATGCTGCCTTTGCCTGGACTGCTCCCCATAACTTTACACCTTAGTTGAAATTTACCCATGTTTATTAGTTTATATTACCATTCAAAATTTTGGGGTCAGTAAGATTAAAAAACAATACTTTGATTCATTAAGGAAGCATTAGAATTAAGTAAAAGTGACAGTAACAACCTGATCTCATGACAAAAACGTACCTGTGGGAACTTTTTCGCAAGATGCGAAATACGTAGCGCCATGTACGTTTCGTGACATATTTGATGTGAAATGTCCACTGAGTGGCGCTAAAAGAGTATTCGTTTTTTTCTCCGGAACAGATGAATGTACATATGGTACATTTTATGTGACGTTGCTTTTGTAAGTGTCACCGCAGTTCTGAAGTGAAATGTCCGTTGAGTGGCGCTATAAGTCTAATGCTCTGTGACATTTTAAAATAACATACCATCTGTACTACACCTAAACCTACCAGATAATATGAACAAAAGCGAATGTGATGTAAAAATGCAATCGCGAGCATGCCGTTTTAGCTTGTTTTTCGATCTCTTATCTTTCAGCTCTTTCATCATGAGGTTTTTGACGGGTTCGTACCCAAGGATTCTGCAGTCTAAGTCCAATTCTGTGACGGCTGAGCTACCGAGAAAGCTTGTTTCAGACGTAAAGTTAAACATATGGAGGTGTAATCATAACTGTGCACAAAAACGATCACAAATGCTCGCTGTTTTACCACCTGTAGCGTTAATTTCTGTTGGAAACTGCAGTGATATACAATTATTCGTACATTTTTCACGTCTTGTGAAAAAGTTGCCACAGGTACAGTACGTTTTCTTCATGAGATCAGGTAGGACAGTAAAGACATTTATAATGTTAGAAAAAATCTATTTCACATGAATGCTTTTTATAAAAAGTATTGCGGTTTCCACAAAACTATGATAGACTGGAGTAATGATGCTGAAAATTCAGCTTTACATCACAGGAATAAAAACAGAAAACAGTTATTTTAAAATGAAACAATATTTCACAATATTACTGTATTTTTAATCAAGTAAATGCATCCTTGGTGAGAACAAAGATGTCTTTCAAGACCCTTTCTGACTTCAAAGTGTTGAACGATATTTATTGAATTATTTAGTTATTTATGTTTGTTTTATTGTTTTTTTCCCCCAATACTTTCTCATACCTTGTTTGCTGTCATGCGATGTTTGTTTAGTATGCTTTCCCCTCAAGGACTGCTTTTGTTTTGTGATATATCAAAACAATCGGCAGGACTTTTTTTTCTCTTTTAAGCTCAAATACATATTTTCGCTGTGAATATGTGTATATCTCATGCTTGCTTTTTTTACCAGCTCGTTGCCCTTCGGTGGCGCTTTCTGCAATGGTTTCATGTGGAGTTCAAAGTGTATGGCGCTTACATTGAGTGAGAAAGGGCTTTGACTAGTCTACCTATCCCATACTGGGGACAGCAGGTGAAAAGAGATGTTTTGAACTGGTAGGGCACCACATCAGTAAGAGAAAATAATGGATTCTATCTCATTTGACATGACTGACTGAATAATTCATGTCTGATAGCAGCCGTACTTTTCTCCAGCTCGGTGATCCTCTCCAGCAGTGAGTTGAGGGTGTTCTCGGTGCGCTGTCGGTGAGCGGTCGTCTCGTTATACAGCTGGCTCTTTTCCTCCTCAAGTTCGGTCACTCTGGTCAGCAGCTGGCTCTCCAGGTCAGTCAGACGGTGCTTCAGCAGGTCTCTCAGCTCATTGGGAAACATCCCACCTGATGTGTTGGCACGCAGCTGCTGCTGCAGGACAAAAGACACCAAATATTAATCTGCCTCATGCTGTTACAGCCAGAAATTGTTCATAATGAACTGCTGGGGATTTGTGAGATGCTGAATTAATGTTGAACGCTTTAAGGGGGTCCCACTACTATGTACTTCCATCAAATTATATTTAATATTAAATTATATTTAGATGCATGTAACATTTAAATGTTTATTCAAGTCAAAAATATAATTTAAAATCACCGAATCAACTTAATTACATTAATTTATACCAAATAAAAAAAAAAATTTATGGGTTAAATCAAATAGAAATATCTCTTTATGTTGTAGATACAATGTACGTATTGTATTCAGTGCTGTACTACAAAACACTTGTGACTATTGAGGTGTGAAGAATGTAATGTTAGGAACAGGTTTATTAGTATGCTTTAAGGGTGGGTTAAGAACAAGGGTCAACAGTGATATTATAGGTTACACTTAATTTTAAGGTGTCCTTGTTACAGTGTAATTATACATTTAAGTACTGAGTAATATTAATTAACTACATGTACTTACTATATGGTTAGGATTAGGGTTTGGCTTAGGGTTACTTGCAATAATTATGCATAATTAATTGTTATTATAATAGTAAGTACATGTAACGTGTAACAAGGACACCTTAAAATAAAGTGTTACCAAAAACATTAACAAAATCAAACATTTGAGCTGGGGAAGTTTCCAAAATGTGGTTAATTTGACACGGAATGTTGTTATGCTCAATACTGCCAATAATTGTCTTCTCAGATTTGCTCACTATTCCACTGATGCTGCAGGACAGAAGCGAAAAAAACACTTTACAGAGTGTATGGAATTCATTTACATCATGGTGTTTGGAACGGTATGTGACTCAAATGCTAAAGACATCAGAGCACAAAAAAAAAAAATTTATGGGTTAAATCAAATAGAAATATCTCTTTATGTTGTAGATACAATGTACGTATTGTATTCAGTGCTGTACTACAAAACACTTGTGACTATTGAGGTGTGAAGAATGTAATGTTAGGAACAGGTTTATTAGTATGCTTTAAGGGTGGGTTAAGAACAAGGGTCAACAGTGATATTATAGGTTACACTTAATTTTAAGGTGTCCTTGTTACAGTGTAATTATACATTTAAGTACTGAGTAATATTAATTAACTACATGTACTTACTATATGGTTAGGATTAGGGTTTGGCTTAGGGTTACTTGCAATAATTATGCATAATTAATTGTTATTGTAAGTACATGTAAAATGTGTAACGAGGACACCTTAAATAAAGTGTTACCAAATTATACTGTAGTTGTAATTACAGGAATTAATTAGAGATGTAGTTACAAGAAGGCATTTTTAAATATAAGCACACTGTAAAAACATTTATGTACACAATAATTGTACATAGTAGTTGAAGACACCATGTGGGTCCATTTTTTGTTAAATTAGTTTATTACATGTAGAGTTAAATGAAATAAACTAATTTAACCCCACCAGAGTGAAAATTAGTATTCATTTTGATCCAGTGACCCTGTATGAATTCAAGTAGTTCATATCGGTAATATTCCATATCCACTTGGCTATTAACAAGAAGTGATATGTCAATTGAGCAATGCACCAAAATCTTCCAACAGCCTTGTCAATTGGTGCATTTAGTTTCAGCAATTCTGTGAATGTATAATTTGCTCTTTTTGTATTTTGTGTGCAGCTATCCGCATTGTCATTGAAAAACGCAGTGGTCACTGATTGCAATTTCAACTAAAACACTCTTGGTTCCAAAATGGGGTTTGTGCATCGATGCCATAAGAACCATTTTGGGCTCCCCAAAGAACCGTTCAGTTTACAGTTCTTAAAAGAACCGCTTTTTTTCGCAGCTTGAAGGACATTTTAATAACTAACTTTATCATTTTCACTATAAATAACTTTTAGTGGTTCCGTGGATGTTAGATGTTCTTAATGGAACCATCGATGCCAATTAAGAATCTTTATTTTAAAAGTGACGAGCAAAGTTCTTTGCACTCTCAGTATATCTTTTAAATAATTGCTAAGTCTGTATCTGCTCACTACTTCCCATCTACAATATCAAAGCTCATTATTAATATTTCATTCAAATCGTGAATTCAAATAGAAAAAGTCCCTCCCTCCCTCCACGTAACATGGCTCATATGACCTTGTTTTGACAGGCGTAAATCAAGCGTCACTAATAAGCAAGACCAATTTTCACAGATCATTAGAGCTCTATTTTCCTTAAAAGCATCACAGATGGCTCTTAGGTGCCCATGATCACTCATCAGCATAAACTCTCACCTCCAGGTTCTCCAGACGGTCTTTGAGGCTCTGCATGGTCTTGCCCAGCTGCTCCACAGTCTCGGTGGGGTCACGCGGCAGATCGCCCATCGTGTTTTTACTATAATCCTTCCTGCGCGCGCTGCCCCGCGACTTGGCGTCCGCCTCGCAGCGCGCGAGTTTGGAGTTGAGCTCTTTGATGGTGCCCTGCTGACTGACGATAGTTTCCTTCTGCTGCAGGATGGTCTCTCGAAGCTGAATGATAGTATTCCGCAGCTCTTCCTCCTGCGGACTTGTGCTTTGGACCCGGTTGGTCGGTTCCACCGGGCAACTGAGGTCGGTGCCCGCTGGCACGGCGGTGCACACGAAGCGGTTTCCCTTCGCGCCAGCCACTTTCCCGCTCCCCGACGCGTATAAAAGCAGCAGTGCCACAAAAAGAGCTCTCATTACGACCGTTTGTCTCTTAAAAACTGGAGTAAATTCAAGTTAGTTAGACTAAAAAGACGTTTAGCGTAGGTTCCACAATAAAATAAGATCTTCAAAAAAACATTTGAGTTTGTTATTTAAATAAAATGCCTAAAGCTCCAGGACGTCGCGCTAATAAAAATCACTCAAAACAAGCACAAAACCGAAACAACACAGATTAGCTGTAGTTAGCCTGGAAATCCAAAGCTTTTCCCAGTACAAACCGAGTGCCGCTCTCTTCGCACAGTCAGTGAATATGTTAAACAAACTGTTGGAGTCCTTCTCACAGACGCGTCACACGCATTTAACTACCTGTCAGGTTAACAGAATCACTCACAAACAAGTAGCTGTCCAAACGAAGAGCGATTTCCAGAGCGGTTTCTGGCGTTACACGCCGACTGTCAGCGCTTTAAGTCTCTTCACACACAGTCGGTGGTGCTGAACGGACAGCGGCGCTTTACCGGATTAATATAGAGACTGAGGCGCGCGCAGTTTGGCTCAACTGGAGAAGCGCGCGGATTGACTGAGCTTCATCTACGTCACTTACTCGCGCTTGATGCGAGTCACGCTTGTAAATTATATTGCCGTGGCTTTTTCTGGCCTCCCGTGAATGTCGCGTTGAATAAACAGTGCGCCGAGCAGATGCAGAGAGCTCATTAATAACCTGCAATTTCAGCCAATAACTGCTTCTCGGCCAATTTAACCCTCGTGTTCTGGAGAGATAACGTTCCTCACCTTATGTTCGGGTCCAAAGATGATTCATATGTCAAGTTAAACCACCTTGACAACAGTTGGTTAAACTTAAAAGGTTTAGAAAAGTGAAGTTAATTCTGGATAAGGTGGTTCTAAGCCTTTTAATTGGTCCCCCACTGTCAAAATAAATATATATGCCCTCATACAGAGATTTTTTTTGTCTTGTACTTCTGCTAAAATAACAAAAATAAGGACTTAGCTGTGTCCCAATTACACTGCACACTATAGACTTCAACTATTATGTTAAATTATTATGTTAATTACATGTCAAATTACATACCATACACTGTACACTTAAAATAACAGCATCGTTCTGGTATTTGAACTGAAGTACACTTCTTGTTGATTTTTTTTTGAAGTGAACACACTTCTCACAATATTTAAACTAAATAGGGTGAAGTACGTCCTCTGTTTTCTTCAATGCTGAAGGTAATAACTGAAAAGCAGTTTGACCAGTAGTGTGCAGGCGTTGTACATAATCAACCAGTCGTGGCGAGAAGGTGGGATCTACAGAGAATGGTCAAAGCAAAGCAAATACACATTCATATAGGCTGCGTCCAAAAGTTGAAAAAAAAAAATGCTGCCTCTGCAGGCACCACACAGAGGTGGGAAGGCAACAAGGCCTGTCCAGATCCAGCGATCATGTCACATTCTGTCCACTAAGATTCTTTAATTTTATTGATTTTTAATGGCAGAATAGATGCATCCTTCACAATCCTGTGCATTCGTAGAGCTAAAAATAAAGATGGCTTCTGACAGTTGCAGTTGGTGGTCAGTTTGTACATAAATGTAGGTTTTGACCAACTTTTTCCACTTGTGATGTAATATGTAGTGAGAAATTAGTATTTAAATGTTCCCTTAACCCCAAAACAAACAAAGCCAAAACCTGGACATTTTAGAGTCAATCTGGGGTAACACTTTAGTATAGGGACCAGTTCTCACTATTAACAAGTTGCTTATTAGCATGCATATTATTAACATATTTGCTTTTTACATACTTATAAAGCACACGCTCTGCATGACCATATTCTACATCTCTATACCTAAATTTAACAACTACCTTACTAACTAATAATAAGCAGCAAATTGGGAGTTCATTGAGGCAAAAGTCGTGGTTAACGTTTTGTTAATAGTGAGAATTGGACCTTAAGACAAAGTGTGACCAATTTAGAAATCCCAGCCTGGACATGTCTGGGGAAAAGAAGGATGTACGGTCAACCTAACGTATTGTGTACAAGTACGCATATTTGGATGCACCTCTTGTTTGAAACTGTGGCTACAAGTTAAAATAATTAATCACAATTTTACAAAACATTTGCTCTTTTTTAATGGAAGAAAACAAAATAAATATGTAACAAAGCTGTTGTATTGAAGACGTTTTTCAAATGCACAATTTGTTACTACAGACGATAACTTAAACTTGCTAGTCAACCTGTAACTCAAATGTTTTAAATCAAATGTTAGTTGATAAGGGGAAACATTTAAAAACTGTCATTGAAATATAAATTAAATGTAATTCATTTAAAATAATTTTTTAAAAGACATTTTAAATTTGTACAGTAAGTTTTACTCAAGCCCCCTAGTATTTGTTGCAATTTTTAAGTGTGGCTTATAGGGTATAGTTAATAATATTGCTAATTTAGACTTGAAATTAACTTGTTATAAGCTAAAATTACATTATATTGACTTACATTAACATTTTGATTTATGTGACAAGAAAACATATTGATTAAGTATGATATGGTCTTATAATAAATTATCGATTTACTTTCCATGAACTTTTTTGTCTTTGGGAAAATAAATACTTTTGATTAATATTAAATTTCTATGAATAATTTCCATAAAATAACTTGAGAGTAAAAAAAGTGCTTTAAAAAACAAACAAAAAAACAAACAAACTTTAAAATATTCTTATATTTTAAAATATATATTTTTTAGTGTATTGTCATTGTATGGAAAAGGTCTGCCTGAAGATTGTTTAAAACATCCTCTTTTTTGTTCCACAGAATAAAGTAAATTGTAGCTTTGGCTTTGGGACGTAATGTAGGTTTGGGGAGTAATGTAGAGTGAAAGTCTCCAATTATTTTTAGGGGCCACTGTATGAACTTCTGCCGTTGTTGTTGTTTTTTTTCACGCCTAGTTTATATGTGGCCACTGTCTTCCTCCTATGCGGCTTCAGAGGCAGAGGCTTAATGGCCTGTTGCTGGCAGTAATACTGTGCGGGGCGGCTCGGGTCACGGGTTTGGTGACAGTTTCCATGTTCGTTTAGACACACGCAGCGAGCGGCTGCCACCTCTCCTGTGACTCCACCCAAACTGGAACCCAAACTGCTGTAAGCTTAGTATTCACACAGCTTATTCTCCAAAGCCTCAAAAAAGGACGCTAAGTCTTTCAGCTTGTGCCAAAACTAAATTATTGACAGAGACTGGTAAATGTGTACACAATGCAGCAACAATTAATTGTAATTCCCATGTAAGAATTAGCCCCAATGGCACAGCTTACACTGAAAAAGTTCTTTTTCGAAGTTAAATAAAACAAAGATTATTTGGAGTACGTACAAGAAAATACTTTTTCAGTCTTTCATGTTTAATTCAATGTGTTAGTTGGCGATTCTCAATTCTAATTATTTATGAGATTTATTAGCAATTTCTGAGTACAAATTGTTTTTACACCAATATTTTTTTTTCAGTGTACCACAAATATATTATTTTTTATCCACTCAGCTCTGTTTATAGTTATTTGTAAAATGTATTAGCATTTTCTGAGTGAAAATGTCACCAAATATATTAAGTACATGTATGATTTTCTCCTGTGAACACACCAATATATTTTGAAGAAGAACGGCTCAAAAATGGCAAAAAGCAACATGAAAATGCCATAAACATATGCATGACAATCCAAGTCTTCTGAAGACATACCATAAATCTGTGTTTAGAAGAGACGGAGATATAACCCATTATTCACTGAAAATGTTCTCCTCCACAACAGCTCTTATATTTCATTCATGTTTAAGACATTCAATTATAGCGCCTCGTCAAGTCTGATGATATACCAACTATTACTTTAATGTTTGCTTGAGATCAGCTGCATGTATTTATAATGTATTTAAATCTATTTTAAGCGCATAACATCTAAAGTTAGTGATGCATCTCTGCAAAAGCAGTCCCAAGGTCTTCCATCTGACATCACATCTGCGGCATTATTCTGTTGGCATTCAGCTGTGTCATATAACAGCTCTGTGGTGTCGCGTGCGTATTGTCACGACCTATGATCATCAGCGCTCCGCGTCACAAGTGTGACTCAGGACTCACAGATGCACACAACATGCTGATGCTTTCTCATTTACAGCAGAACTATGTGTCCCCTTGAGTAAAAATCTTCCAAACTTTGACAGGTAGACAGGGACGGGCTCCTGTCTGTTGCGATTTTGTGCCAATCATCCTCCCCAGCAGCTGTACTGTCAATTTTATTAGGTAAATACTCAAGCGACAGTCTCGTCTGTTAAAAGATGCTGATTTGTATTCAAACATTCATTCTTGGCTTTTGACAGAGGCTCTTAAGATGAATTCCTACAATATACATGTGAATTTGCTCGGGGTTATTTGAGAAAGAACAAGATCAAATAACCCTTTAGTTCCTGAGGGTGCTGCCGTTCTGCAAGCGCTGGGTGAGATTTGGATTAGAGACCCAGAGATCTCAACAAAGACATGATGCAATGCTTTTGGGCACAGTGTGTCAAGCTTGGTTGAAGTGTGTGTGTGTTTGAGCGCATGTGTGTGTGAGAGAGAAAAAGGCTGTGCTCGTAACAGCATATGCTGTTTACTATTTCCACACTATGTAGTATGCACTGTTGGAAAGTGACTAAAAGTAGCAACTCAAGTAACTCTTGCAGTTTTTCAGTAGTGAGTAGAAGTTGCCTTCTCCTTTTTTTCAACAAGAAGTGTATTGTGAAAAAAAGCTTCATTGCTATTTTGTGGCATGCATAAATTTACAGTGTATTCAAATGCTTTCATTCCAATAATCTACATCTACCTTTATGCTTTTGGCAGATGCTTTAAAGTGACATTGCATTCAGAGCATACATTTTGTCAATTCATGCATTCCCTGGGATTCGAACCCATGACCTGGCGTTGCTAGCAACATACTGTCCTGTCTAGAGGAACGCTATACACTGAAAAAAAAAAAAAAAAGATTCATTGAATTCACTAAATTTTTTTAAGGAAAGTGGTTGCAATCAATTTATTTTAGCTACATTTAAATAAACAAATTTAGTTGACTTTAGTCGACTTTCAACATGTTTTTATTTTTTTAAATGTAGCTAAAATAAATTGTTTGCAACCACTTACCTTAAAAAAAATGTAGTATCATTTTTTTTCAGTGTAATTGGCAGCTTCTGTTTGCTAAAAAA